CCGCCCCCTGCCAAACAAGGGCCCGCCCCGCCTCGTGTGCATGGGGAAGGGGGCCGGGGCCGGTGGAGGGATCGGGCCCGGCCGAAAAGGCCAACTGAGGTCACCGCGCTGAACCCTGCCCGGCAACCAGCGAGCCCCCACCTTTGTAAGATCACGTTGCCCCAGATGTAGAAGATGCCGCTGAACGGGTTATAGGACAAGCCCCTGGGGACCAGGGCGGAATCCGTGTATTCTTCCAGCCCCAACAGCATCACAAACCCTTTCTCCGTGTCTGCCAAAGGAAGGCGGGGAAGTGGCTTTGCTGGGCTCCCCGCGGGCCAGGCGGCCTTAGGCCTGTTACGGAAGCGGCAGGCGAGCGAATCCGGGGCAGACGAGGGGCCGTGTGCACAGCTCGAGCCCGGCCCTCCCTGCTCCGGAAACACCCCTCTCCTGGGAGTATTTGAATTAGCCGGGTGCCGTTTTTCACCGGGCTGGCCAAGTTTCTCGCAAGGCGAGCGAATCCGGGGCAGACGAGGGGCCGTGTGCACAGCTCGAGCCCGGCCCTCCCTGCTCCGGAAACACCCCTCTCCTGGGAGTATTTGAATTAGCCGGGTGCCGTTTTTCACCGGGCTGGCCAAGTTTCTCGCAGTCCCATAAGGGTTGCATCCAGCCACCAGGCCTGGCTCCCAGGTCTGGGCCATTACTCAGCTCTGGTTTGCCCCTAGATGCCTTCTCAGAGCCAGGGAGCAGCGGGCAATGCCACTCCCGTGGTCCAGCAAATCCTCAGGTTGGGAACTGGTCACGCCCCGAGGGCGCCGGCCCGGAGAGGTCCAACCTGCGGCTAGTTCCAGTCCACGTCTCCAGGGACACGCCCCGCAGGGAGAGCACCTTGGCCTGCCCGGGGACGCCAGGGCAAGTACGGCCACACTCATCCCTACCGTGGATTAGCCAAAACGTGGAGGCCGCAGCCGCATTACGGGCACAAGCGCAGCATCTGGCGCTACAGCGCTGGGCACGGCCAAGCCGGTGAGCAGCCCAGGCCTGACTCTGGTTTCACTTTGGCCGGGAACTCAGTGAATTCGAATTAAGGTCCCCTCCACCCTGAGCAGAGCAGCCATGCAGGGTCCATGTGCTTTCCCTGAGGGCATGCCCGAATAAACAGGCAGTTTGCAGTGTAACCCTACCCCTGCACTGCCCCCGGGGACCCTGAAATCCCAGGCGCACGGCGGCCTGCTGCCATTCGGAGCAGAGCAGACTGAGCGGGAGAGGCCGGACAGAGCCCTGGAGGGAACCACCCTGCTCTGGGCTGGCGGGGGGAGGCCCTACGAGAGCTGGCTGCACTTTCCCAGGATCTCTGAATGGTGCCTACCTCTCTCCAGAGGCCGGAGACAGGGGAGGCTTCGCACGCTGCCTCCGCCCCCAGCACGATTTCTCCACTTCCATTGGCCAGTTTCCTCCCCCTCCCCTCTGGCACCCAGAGCAGAGACCCACAGGGAGCAGCCAGCTGCTTAAAGTGGCCGGGGGCTGCTTCTGTGCCTGAGCGTCCCTGCAGGGAGGCCAGCTTGGTGGGCTGGATCTGAGCGATGGGCCATATGTTGCCTGCCCCTGATTTAGGTGGATGTCAGTATGGGGCAGAGGTGGGCAATAATTTGAACGTTCCGAGGCGAGTTCTTACCTTTGGGCACAAAGCGAGGGAGGCGGAACAGTACCTGGAAAGTTGCCTTATCTGTGAGCAAACAAACACGGGAAGGCCAAGTTACACTCTGCCACTAGGGGACTCTGCCTGCCACCACGGAACCCAAATCCTCATGGCTGTGTCTACACTGGCCAGGGGCGGATATAGGGCAGGGCGAACGGGGCGGCCGCTCTGGGCCCCGCGCTTCAGAAAGCCCCGCGCATGCGCCGTGGCAAATGGGGCCCCCGCGGAATTAGGCTGCCCGGGGCCCCGCAAAACGGTCATCTGCCCCTGACACTGGCCACTTATTCCCGAAAATCAGCCGCTTTTCCAGAATAAGCTGCGAGCTGTCTACACTGGCCGCTTGAATTTCCGGAAAAGCAACAACGCTGTACTGTACAAAATCAGCCGCTTGCTGCTCCCGTTCGGGCAAAAGTCCTTTTCCGGGAAACTGTTCCGGAAAAGGGCCAGTGTAGACAGCTCAGATTTCTTTTCTGCAAAAACCCCACGATCGCGAAAATGACGATTGGGGCTTTTTTGCGGAAAAGCGCGTCTACTTTGGCACGGACGCTTTTCCGGAAAAAGTGCTTTTCCAGAAGGGCATCCTGCCAATGTAGACGCGCTTTTTCCAGAAATACTTATAACGGAAAACTGTTCCGTTTTAAGCATTTCCGGAAAATCATGCCAGTGTAGACGCTGCCCATGTGTTTAGCTCCACCCCAGCCATTGGGTAGACAGGGAGATCGAGGCACAGAGCAGCCAAGTGACCTGCCCAAGATCGCGTGGGAAGCGTGTACCCAGCACATCTGCGTGCTGCTCCTGGCCCTGCGAGCGTGTGTCTGCCCAAGCTGCCATCACTCCCCGGACTGCAGTGTCGACACCCCTGGGCGGGTGACACCCTGTCACTGCTCGGCACGTGGCCCTGTGCTGCGGCTGGCGCTGTCTGTGGTGACAGTAGGGGTGGCTCTTGGCCAGGCCCTTCATTCAAGGCTGGTCAGTTTCATTCGACACTGACCGGTGCTGGATTTGAACCAACAGCCTAGGCAGGACAAGCAGCCTGAGCCATTTGGTCCTCCCCCAGGGTCCAACTGCTAAACCAGGGCAGGGCGCTACGAGGGTGGTTCCCCAGGGTTAGCCCCTGGCGGGCTGCCCCAGGAAAGGGTGACTGCTGCTCCCATTGGCTGCGGATCGCCTTTCTGGGCCAATGGGAGCTGCGGGAAGCGGCGTGGACAGGGACACCACTTCCCACAGCCCCTGCTGGCTCGACCTGCGATCCACAGCCCTGCCCGTAGCTGCAGAGCGCAGGTAAATGCAGCGGCAGCGGCCTGCCAGGGCTAACCCTCAGGAGCCGGATCAGGTGTTTGCCCACCCCTGGATTAGACCCTCACACCTGAGTTAACCAGTCCCCACTGCGAGCCCACCCCAGACACAGCCCTCCTCCAGATTCCATGCACAGCACGTGGGCCTCAGCACCGCTCCACAGCCTGGGATGGAATGAGGCTGATTGGCAGCGGCTGGCTCCGGGACGACCGCTCACCTCGGTCGTAGCCCACGATGTGGTAAAGGGACTGGTCCCGCTGCCTCTCCTGCACCAGCAGCACAATCAAGTTCTCCTCCGTGATGTAGACGGCCCAGAGCACGCTGCAGGCAACTGGGAGTGGAGAGAGATCGAGAGAGAGGGTAGCAAAATCTTCTCAACTGGCTCTTTCGAAACACCTCGATGATCTCGGGCAAGCGACTGTCTCCTATGCTGGTGTAACTCCTCACGGTGTTATACAGCCGGTGTCTCCGAACTGCACCCAGCGTCCCCGAACTGCGCCCAGAGTCCCCGAACTGCGCCCAGCGTCCCCGAACTGCGCCGTGTCCCCGAACTGCGCCCAGCGCCCCCGAACTGCGCCGTGTCCCCGAACTGCGCCCAGCGCCCCCGAACTGCGCCGTGTCCCCGAACTGCGCCCAGCGCCCCCGAACTGCGCCGTGTCCCCGAACTGCGCCCAGCGCCCCCGAACTGCGCCGTGTCCCCGAACTGCGCCCAGCGCCCCCGAACTGCGCCGTGTCCCCGAACTGCGCCCAGCGCCCCCGAACTGCGCCGTGTCCCCGAACTGCGCCCAGCGCCCCCGAACTGCGCCGTGTCCCCGAACTGCGCCCAGCGCCCCCGAACTGCGCCGTGTCCCCGAACTGCGCCCAGCGCCCCCGAACTGCGCCGTGTCCCCGAACTGCGCCCAGCGCCCCCGAACTGCGCCGTGTCCCCGAACTGCGCCCAGCGCCCCCGAACTGCGCCGTGTCCCCGAACTGCGCCCAGCGCCCCCGAACTGCGCCGTGTCCCCGAACTGCGCCCAGCGCCCCCGAACTGCGCCGTGTCCCCGAACTGCGCCCAGCGCCCCCGAACTGCGCCGTGTCCCCGAACTGCGCCCAGCGCCCCCGAACTGCGCCGTGTCCCCGAACTGCGCCCAGCGCCCCCGAACTGCGCCGTGTCCCCGAACTGCGCCCAGCGCCCCCGAACTGCGCCGTGTCCCCGAACTGCGCCCAGCGCCCCCGAACTGCGCCGTGTCCCCGAACTGCGCCCAGCGCCCCCGAACTGCGCCGTGTCCCCGAACTGCGCCCAGCGCCCCCGAACTGCGCCGTGTCCCCGAACTGCGCCCAGCGCCCCCGAACTGCGCCGTGTCCCCGAACTGCGCCCAGCGCCCCCGAACTGCGCCGTGTCCCCGAACTGCGCCCAGCGCCCCCGAACTGCGCCGTGTCCCCGAACTGCGCCCAGCGCCCCCGAACTGCGCCGTGTCCCCGAACTGCGCCCAGCGCCCCCGAACTGCGCCGTGTCCCCGAACTGCGCCCAGCGCCCCCGAACTGCGCCGTGTCCCCGAACTGCGCCCAGCGCCCCCGAACTGCGCCGTGTCCCCGAACTGCGCCCAGCGCCCCCGAACTGCGCCGTGTCCCCGAACTGCGCCCAGCGCCCCCGAACTGCGCCGTGTCCCCGAACTGCGCCCAGCGCCCCCGAACTGCGCCGTGTCCCCGAACTGCGCCCAGCGCCCCCGAACTGCGCCGTGTCCCCGAACTGCGCCCAGCGCCCCCGAACTGCGCCGTGTCCCCGAACTGCGCCCAGCGCCCCCGAACTGCGCCGTGTCCCCGAACTGCGCCCAGCGCCCCCGAACTGCGCCGTGTCCCCGAACTGCGCCCAGCGCCCCCGAACTGCGCCGTGTCCCCGAACTGCGCCCAGCGCCCCCGAACTGCGCCGTGTCCCCGAACTGCGCCCAGCGCCCCCGAACTGCGCCGTGTCCCCGAACTGCGCCCAGCGCCCCCGAACTGCGCCGTGTCCCCGAACTGCGCCCAGCGCCCCCGAACTGCGCCGTGTCCCCGAACTGCGCCCAGCGCCCCCGAACTGCGCCGTGTCCCCGAACTGCGCCCAGCGCCCCCGAACTGCGCCGTGTCCCCGAACTGCGCCCAGCGCCCCCGAACTGCGCCGTGTCCCCGAACTGCGCCCAGCGCCCCCGAACTGCGCCGTGTCCCCGAACTGCGCCCAGCGCCCCCGAACTGCGCCGTGTCCCCGAACTGCGCCCAGCGCCCCCGAACTGCGCCGTGTCCCCGAACTGCGCCCAGCGCCCCCGAACTGCGCCGTGTCCCCGAACTGCGCCCAGCGCCCCCGAACTGCGCCGTGTCCCCGAACTGCGCCCAGCGCCCCCGAACTGCGCCGTGTCCCCGAACTGCGCCCAGCGCCCCCGAACTGCGCCCAGCGTCCCTGAACTGCGCCATGTCCCTGAACTGCGCCCAGTGTCCCCGAACTGTGCCATGTCCCCGAACTGCTCCCAGCGCCCCTGAACTGCGCCAGTGTTCCAGACTGTACCCCAGCCTCAGGGGCTTAGCAGTGAGGCTCTTGCCCCCCAGGTCAGTGGTTAGGCTGAAAATGGGCACAGGAGTCCTGACAGCCTCCGGGCACCCTGCTGCAACCACTAGGTGCCACTCCCTTTCTGGAGTGGGGAAGAGAACCTGGCTGTCCCGCCTGGCCGGGCGAGGGTCCCACGAGCAGCACTCACTCTTCAGACACATGCACACTGTCTCCCTCTCCGCCGTGCGTAGTTCTGAAAACTGCACCGCTCCGTCTGCAGGGGAGAGAGCAGCTGCAGGGTTGCAGCCGAACAGGCCAGAGGCCGGGGCGACCCCACTGCCGCACCTCCAGCCCCGCTAATGCGCTGGGGGCAGAGACAGGGTGGGGGAGGAGAGGGATGGGTAGCGATGGGGCCTGAGGCAGCAGGGGGTTGTCCTGGCCCTTCTCCAGGCTGGGGGAGTGACAGGGCTGGGGG